ATGGAACCATGTATTGCAAAAACTTTCCTTTCTCCCTATACACATGTCTTTTTTTTTTTTTTTTTTGCAATTTTTGGACGGGGCTGGGTTTGAACCTGCCACCTCTGGTGTATGGGGCCGGTGCCCTACTCCTTTGAGCCACAGGCACCACCCTACACATATGTTCTTGACAACTTTCTTGACAAAAACTACCCCAAAGAAGTGTGGATATGTATATTGCTGGGTTCTCTGTTCTGTGCCATTGAGAGATGTGTCTGTTTTTATGCCAGGACCATGCTTTTTTAGTTACTGCTGATCCAATTTGAAGTCAGGTAATGTGACTCCTCTAGTTTTGTTCTTTTTGCTCAAGGTGGCCATAGCTATTCTGGGTTGTTTGTGCTTTCTATAAATGTTAGGATCATTTCTCTATTTCAGTGAAGAATGACAATGATATTTTGACGGGGATTGCATTGAACCTATACATTGCTTTGGGTAGTATGGACATTTTAACAATATTGATTCTTCCAATCTATGAGCATGGGGATATCTTTCCATTTTTTTAATATCCCCTTTAATTTCTTTAATCCATGTTTTATGGTTTTTAGTATAGAGACCTTTCACTTCTTTGGTTAAGTTTATTACTAGGTATTTTATTTTATTTATAGCTATTGTAAATGGGATTACTTTCTTGATTATTTTCTCTAGTAGTTGCTTTAATTTGTTGCTTTTTATTTTTTGTGTATCTGTTGTAGGTTTCTTCAATTGAGATTATCATGAGGCTTGCAAAAGACATTTTATAAGCAATTATTTTAAACATATGACAACTCTTGCTTACAAATAAGCAAAGTGAAATCTAACAGAAGTGCTACCCCTTAACTCCATCCTACCCCTGCTTTTTAACTTTTTGTTGTTTTTATCCATATCTTTTACTACCTATCTCTCAAGAAGTTGTTGTAGTTGTTTTGTCCTACTCAAGATATAAGTGGTTTATTCACCGTAATTACAGTAATAGAGTATTCTCCTTCTGTGTACTTGCTGTTACAAGTGAGTTGTACACCTTCAGATGATTTCTTATTATTCATTAATATCTTTTTCTTTCAGACTGAAGAAGTCTTTTTTAGCATTTCTTATTAGACAGATCTGGTATTGATGAAATCCCTCAACTTTCGTTCGTCTGAGAAAGTCTTTACCTGTTGTGCTTGAATAATATTTATGCAGGGTATAATAGTCTAGGGTTAAGGTATTTTTTTTTCTTTCAGCACTTTGAATATTTCATGCCACCCTATCCTGGCCTATAAGGTTTCCACTGAGAAGTCTGCTGCCACATGTACTGGAGCTCTTTGATATGTTATTATTTTTTCTTGCTTTTGTCAGGATTTTTTCTTTATCTGTCCCCTTTGGGAGTTTGATTATTGAGGCCCTTGAGGTATTCTTACTTAGGTTAAATCTGCTTGGTGTTCTATGACCTTTTGTACCCAAATACTGAAATTTTCTCTAGGTTTGAAAAGTTTTTTTATTATTATTTCTTTGAATAAACTTTCTACCCCAATCTCTCTTTCTACCTCCTCTTTAAGGCCAATAACTCTTAGATTTCCCTTGTGGAAGCTATTTCCTAGCTCTGGTAGACATACTTCATTCTTACTTCTTTTTTCCCCCTTCTGTGTATTTTCAAAGAGTCTATCTCAAAGCTCACAAATTCTTTCTTCTGCTTGGTCAACTCAGCTGTTGAGACTCTGATGCATTTCTCAGTTTGTCAACTGAATTCTTAAGCTCTAGAATCTCTGCATGATTTTTTAAAAATTTCAATCTTTTTGTTAAATTTCTCTGATAGGCTTCTAGATTCCTTCCCCATGTTATCCTGAAATTCTTCAGGACAGCTATTTTGAATTCTTTTTCTGCAAGGTCACTTATCTCCATCACTCCAGGATTGGTCATTGGTACCTTGGTTGGTTTGGTGAGGTCATGTCTTCCTGGATGTTCCTGATGCTTGTGGATGTTCACTGATGTCTGGGAATTGAAAAGCTAGGTATTTATTTTAATCTTCACAGTCTGGGATTGTTTGAACCCATCCTTCTTGAGAGGGCTTTTCAAGCATTCCAAAAGAATTGAGTGTTATGATCCAGGCATTTGTTCACTGTAGCAGTATCAGTACTGAGGATTCCCCTTGACCAGTAATGACTCTTGCAGATGCTTGATAATACCACCTTCATGGACTTGGATGAGATATGGGGTAACTCTTGGGATTACTAGGCAAAGTCTCTAACCTTCCCTCATTCTCTGTTCTGGGCTACTGGAGTTGGGGGAGGAGTGATGTGGGCAACTCTCTCATGGTCATACTTGAAGCTAGCCTGGTCTCACCCAAAGCCCACGGTCACTGCCTGGCTATATCTGACATTTATTCAAAACCCAAATGGTCTTTAGTTAGCAGGTGCTGAATTCTGCCAGGACTGATTCCTTCCTCTCAAGGCATTATGTTTCCTTCTGGCCCAGGGTATATACAGAAATGCCATCCAGGAACTAAGGCCTGGACTGAGGGGCTTTGGGATTCTGCTTGGTACTTTATTTTGTTGTGGCTTGGCTGGAACTCAGCTTGCAAAACAAAGTCCTCTAAGCTCTTATATTTCCTTTCCTTAAGTGGAAGAAGACTCTCCCTGAGCCATGCTACCTGTAGCTGGGGGAGGGGTGACACACTGCCTTGGCTGCAGCTGCTAGTGTCTAACTAGGTCACATCCACCCCAGGTCCATGGGCTCCCAGCCAGCCACAGGAATTGCCCAAGAACTGCAGCCTTTGTGTCTCTGACTACCTTAAGAATTTAGTCCAAGCTCCAGGCTACTTATTGTCGGCTGGTAGTGTGGCTAGCCAGAACTCAGGTTCTGGGATGGAGGATTTCCCTCTGGCTGGACTGGTCTAAATGCTCCCTCCATGGGTACCTGTAGAATTCTGTCCTGTGCTATGTTCCCCTGTCCCAAGGTGGCCCTGAATTTCCATGCAAAACCCCACAGTCCCTTTGCGTAGAGGCGAGAGGTGGCACAGGCGATGAAAGATTGTTGTTTCTTCCCTCTTCAGTGCCTCTTCCCTTGATGTAATGTTATGTCCAGGTAGCATAACAGCTCACCTGAGTTTTGGTTCTTCTAAAGGTGTTTGCTGGCTTGGATATCTGTTGAATTTGGTGTTCATGTGGAGGAATGGCACTAGAGGTTTCTATTTGGCCCTCTTGCTCCACCTCATTTTCCCTTTTTATGGACTGCATCTCACGTGATGTCAGTGGGGCTTTTCTTTTTTATTTGATATAACTACCCATTGTGTAATGATTGTCAAAAATTAATGCAGCCATGCCCATCCATGCTGTTCATTAGATCTCCAGAACTTATCCATCATATAACTGAGCATTTGTACCCCTTGACCAACATCTCCCCATTTCTTCCACCCCTCCAGATCCTGGTCATCACCATTCTACTCCCTGCTTCCATCAGTTCAGATCTAGACTCCACATATAATGACATCACATGGGATTTATCTTTCTGTGCCTGGCTTACCTCACTTAATAATGTTCTCCAGTTTCATCCGTATTGTCGCAAATGGCAGAATTTCTTTTTTCTGGCTGAATAATAGTCCATTGTGTGTGTGTGTACCACAGTTCCCCCTCCCCCATTCATCCACTGATGGTCATTTAGCTTGATTCCATATGTTGGCTATTGTGAATATTGCTGCAATGAACATTGGGGTACAAGTATCTCTTTAAAATAAGAATTTTATTTCCTTTGGCTGTATACTCAGAAGAGGGATTGTTGGATCATATGATATTTCAGTTTTTCTCCAAAAAATGTTTTATCCTTCATATTAGTATGGATATCCTTCATATTAGTATGGATACATTGGATACTTGCTTCTCCACTCTTGTGACATGAAGAATGTGTTCTAACTCCACCCAGGTTAATACAAAAGATGTAAAGTCTCCATCTTTTTATAGCTGAATAGTATCCCATGGTATACATATACCACAGCTTGCTAATCCATTCATGAATTGGTAGGCATTTAGGAGCACAATGTTAGACTGTATGGCACACCTCTTGGGGGTGGGACAAAATTATAAGAGGGACTCTACCTAAGAAATGCAAACATTGAAACCTATTTCTCTGTATCCTGAAATTAACCTGAAATAAAGAGAAAAAAATTTTTTACCCTTCCAATGGGGACTTCTCTGAGAAAAAAATTATATAATGTATATTAAAGCTAACTAAACAATAAGAAAAACAAGCATTTTTCAAAGTAAGGCATTTTTGCCAAAAGCATTTACTATTTAAAAGTGACTGATGTCTGCTTCTATGTGTTGCTGATTGTTCTAGTCTTTTGTTAATTTAAAATTTTGTTCTATTCTCTAGAAGCTGTAACTGCTAATAGCTGGGAGAGGGAGGATGCTGGAATTGGGGCAGGTGTATTTGGCAAAGATCTAAGGTGTGTCTCCATTTGGGACATGAACTCCAGCCAAGATATGTTATAGTCTGTGTAGGGATCATTATGATAGCCAGGTGATGCTAGATTCTAATTACCTGCTTTAGCCACTGGGTGGGCGGGGAAGACAAGGTAGAAGCAGGTGATATTTATAAATGGCAGGTATAAAAGACTGAAAATAATTTCTTTACAATAATGAGCCTTGTTCCCAAATTGGCTAATAGGTATATTTTTAAAGTCATGCTAAATTAAAAAGTACAACTTTTTCTAACTAGTATTTTGTAGCAGATGGGTTCAGGGAGACTTTTCAGGGTATCCAGAAAAGTTCTACACATAAATTGAATATAACTGCTCAGAGAGTTACTGGAGCTTTCTTTAATCAGAATGGGAATGTGGACAAGCTGAGGTCTGTCTGTGGTACTTAAGGGAGAACATGCTGACTCTTGTAGTTAGTTTACAGAGGGTCAGTCAGGCTGGGGCTGTGACGCTTGCTAGGTTAAATTCTTTTTCTCCTCCTGTAGATTCGTAGTGCTTCCTTCTGATAGAACGTCTTGCCTCTGCTGCTGAGATGGATGACAGAGATAATAACAAAGAACTGAATCAGAAATTAAACTTTTCCTGTGGTGAGGAAGAGACTGAGAGAGAAGAGCAGAGGAAATCGCCAGAGAGCATGGAGGCCCAGAACCAAACCCCAAGGAAGGATAAAGTTCAGGACTTGGAGGCAATGGAGGTGATGTTCTCTCCACCCAGGACTCCCCTTAGTAACATAGGTGAACTCGACGCATCTCAGGAAAAAGACAAAGGAAGCCCAGATCAGAGTTTGAGGACTTCAGTGTCCCAGCCTCTCAAATGTCCTGAGACACCCACCCAACTAGAGAAAAGGAGCCTGCTGCTTCATGGTGACAGCCCCTCTACTCCCAAAGTAAGTAAGTTGTGGGGAAAGTCGCCAAGCTCTGCTCTCCTTCCATTCAGCTGCTAGAGAAACAGGACTCACGTGTGTGTGATAGAATTACCTCACAGGCTGTGTATGTCCTCAATTTTGTAGTACTGGTGAAAAAGAACAAGAGTTTAAAGTTACCAGAAAGCAGAAATAAATGTTTTGCCAGTTGTCTTCTTAAAACTATTGATGCCAGTTAACTATTTGCTATTGGCCACAAATAAACCTTGGGTAGACAAAAGTTCCTAGTTAGAGAATATTGGAACTAGAAGGCTCTAGAACCCCACCTGTACACTTAAATAAGAGAAGATCAAGGTCCCAAGAGATAAATATCTTATCGTTCAGCCAATGCAGAGATAAGACTAGGAATCAGAGCTTTTGGGTTTAGTCTGTCCTTTCCATTACACCAACTGGCTCTACCTTTGTGTGATTATTTACTACTATTTCCTAATATAAGAATGTCCATATTCACTGTTTAAACATATATCTCCTTGCTGCTGCTCTTCCTAAAGAAACTCCCCTGTCCTCCTTGTTCTAATGAAACACAGGCTGTTCTGTTAAATGTGAGTAGAGAGGAATCTTGTTGACACTTTAAACTGAGGATGGCAAAGAAGGTCCCAAATAGAGAATGGTTGTCTTCTTGCTGTGATTGGTTTCCTGTTGCATCAATCATGTCACTAAAGCCAGGACTGGGGCAGGGTTACGCCTGGTAAACTCTGGTGCCAGGATGTTGCTTCCAGAGATTGGTATTATCTCTGCTTCCCGCAAGCTCAGCTTGAGGTACTGAAGATGATTATAATGCCAGCTGTGATCCTGGCTGTAGCACAGTCACTGCCAGGGGTCTCTTCAGTACTTGCTGAGTTTGGCTGCCAAGTCTACCAGGAGATTCTAAGCTTCTTGTCTGAGCTGAGACAAACTCCTATGCTCAGGTGTCTAGCTGCGAGTCTTTCTATGGTCACAATACTCTATGGTCACTTTCTATGGTCACTAATCTGCCATTTCTTTTTTGAGGACCCACTGTAGGTAAGAAGCATAAAACAGTCCATTTCCTCAAAGAACTTACAGTCTGACACAGAGAGAGAGGTTTTGTCAATAGACACCATGGATTAAGTGTTTCAAGAGTGGTCAGAGTTCTCTGGGAAGATTCTCAGAAGAGTGATAGGAAAGAAACAGTAGTGAAGGAAGCTGAAGAAGGACAATAAACACTGGTACAGTTTTGACATAAAGTGGAGACTATGGCTCTAAGAGTACACAGAAAAGGAAATGTGATGTAATTCACTCCATTCAATCACTCACAGCTTAACTGAACGCCTTGATGTGTTAGCAACCCCTTTGCTGGTGAAACCAATTCACGGCCTCCAAAAAGTGCCCTCCAAATGAATAAAGGTAAACAACTGAAACAATAATTAAAGTTCAGATCGTGTGTGCTAGAGGAAAGGTAGAACATGATGCATTTAGCTACATTTCTTTGATTCTTAAGAAATTAGGAATTAGACTTGGTGCCTGTAGTTCAGTGAGTAGGGCACCAGCCACATACACCAAGGCTGGTGGGCTCGAATCTGGCCTGGGCCTGCTAAACTGACAACTTCAACCAAAAAACAGCTGGGTGTTGTGGCGGGTGCCGGCAGTCCCAGCTACTTGGGAGGCTGAGGCAGGAGAATAGCTTAAGCCCAGGAGATTAGATTGCTGTGAGCTCTGACACCACTGCACTCTACCAAGAGCAACATAGTGAGAGTCTGTCTCCAAAAAAAAAAAAAAAAAAGAAAGAAAGAAAGAAAAAGAAATTAGGAATTAGAAGACTTTCCAAAGGAATCAAAGTTTGAGAAATCATTTTAAATGGTGATTTGGAGTTATCCAGGCAAAGAAGAGGAGAATGGAAGCTCTGGAAGAAGGGAAGAGCATCCATCAGGTTACGGAGGGGCAAGAGCAGTTTACACCTGGGAAGCTGCATGTTATTCGGCATGACGGGGTCTGTATGTGAGAATGTGCAGGAGATGAGGCCAGCACAGGCAGGTAGAAGCTGGATCAAGATTTTTATGCTGAAAGTCTTGAGAAAGCTGTTAAATGGTTTTTAGCAGGGGCATTTTTGGAAAATGATCTTCATATATAGGATGGAATGGATCAAGAGAGCCTGGAGGCAGAGCATTAGTCACAATAGTTCTGTTGAGAATGGAGAAGGGCCTGAACTAGGGCAACAGTGAACAGGGGAATACTGAGAGATGTTTAGGGACTGGTAACTGATATGATGGAGGGGATGGACTAAAAGGAATCTGGGATGACTGTGAGGTCTCTGGCTTGACTGACTTAGTTGTTGGTACCTTGAATCAATATAGGTGACACCTGAAAATGTGGCATAAATACATGGATAAATGGGTTTGGGGCACAGGAAAAGCACCAAAGCTGAAGATTTGTATTTGGATATCTACTATTAGTATGTAGTATTTCTATTTAGAAAGCTGTGGAAGGCATGGGTGGGAATAAGATCACATGGCCTGAGTGCCAGAGTAAGAAAAGTGGCCACGTTAGAAATCCTGGATAATGCCAAGATTTAGAGGACATGCAGACAATAGGGCTAGGGAGGAAAACTGGAGACATAACTGAGAAAGTATATACTCTGTGAAAATGGAATATGGGTCAGGGTCAGAGGAGAGAGCCAAGGCTGATGGTGGTTGTTATGCTAAAGACAAGGCCAATAGGAAAGAAGGCATGGCTTAGTTCAGCCTGACCAAAGGACAATACCAGAAATTATGTGTAATAGATTTCAGTTCACTGTAAGGCTTTCTGGCAGAATTTTCTAGACAGAAGAGCATCTTTAGGAGGTAGTAAGAGCCTACTGGCTAAATGCACCGAGCACTAGTTGATGACTACTTGGTTCGAACATTGTAGAAGGGATTCATGCATCAAGGAACAAATTGTATTAATTAATCCTTTAAAATTCTCCCTAGTTCCAAGACACTATGAACTTGTGTCTTTGTGGGAAGGTTTCCTTTTCAGATGTCAAGGAATTATCCTCCAGATTTCCCTTATCTCCTGTGCTAGGGCTGTTACTCAGGGAATTTTCTACACTCTTTCGAGCACATTTATACTCTCAACTGTATCATCTTTCCAGGAATTTCTATCTATTTTTCTTCTGAGCAGAACTTTCTTTCATATGTCTTCTCTCAGACTATGATCTTTTAGAGTTCAAAAAGATTACTCAATTCTACCATTCCAACAATAAGGTAATTAACATCCTTCCCAACATCATAAGCAGAGCTTACAGATTCTGTTGGCTGTCACAGTTCCACACTAGAAATTTAGACGTCGTCTGGTAGGAATACTTTCCCTTCTTTCTATCTGAACATTTTCTAGATCCCTTATATGTGTATTTTGCTTGAGGTGTGGCAGCATTCCAAGTGTGAACGCCCACTCTCTCATATGTGACAGATGTGTCTTACTTGCCATGTGATAATCAGCATTAAATTCTCAGAGGGATGTGCTATAATTCTAAGTGCATTCCTAATCACATTAATAACTGATAAATACCATTATATAGTTTTGCTTATTTTGAACCAATGTTTAGTCTTTGTGATAAATTCACAGAAAAAATTTTGAGTTCTCAGTGAGAAATTTGACCATAGCCCCCTGGATTGTTTACCTTATGATATCCAGGATGTATGTAAAACCCTGACTCTGGCAATGAAATTTTTTTCTTCACTTAAAAATAGACGCACATTCGTTAGTGAGTCACACTGTACTCTGGTTTCCGCTTCTATACAGAAAAGTCATGAGCAGAGACTATCAGAACAGTGCAATGAGTATGCTGTGAGGTTCCACCAGGGCCCTCCATGGAGGCTAATGCACCCCCAAATCTGTAGCACAGGTATTCCTCTGGCCCTTGACATTTGGGCCATCATGGCATTCTGCGGTCTCAGGATTCTTTGGCTTTGCCCTTAGGTTTAGTTCTGGTTAGGTTTAGGTCTATGTCCTCTTTCTGCACCCCACCTGAGTCGTAAGTCCTGCACATTTGTCCAGTTGTTGGTAGCTGATTATAACCACTGCAGAGCTGTGAATTGTAAGGGCTTATTGTAGAGTACTATTTTTTTTTTTTTTTTGAGACAGAGCCTCAAGCTGTCACCCTGGATAGAGTGCTGTAGCATCACAGCTCACAGCAACCTCCAACTCCTGGGCTCAAGCGATTCTCTTGCCTCAGCCTCCCAAGTAGCTGGGACTACAGGCGCCCATCACAATGCCCAGCTATTTTTTGGTTGCAGCTGTCGTTGTTTGGTAGGCCCGGGCTGGATTTGAACCCCCCAGTTCAGGTGTATGTGGCTGGCACCTTAGCCACTTGAGCCACAGGCACCGAGCCTAGAATACTATTTTTTAATCTCTTTACCCCACTTCATGGAGCTCTTCTCCTTTAATGCGATATTTTAAATGAAATAAAAACATTTTTATGTTTAGATAGTCCATGAAATCTCTCCGTTACAAAGTGATTATTTTTTAACCACTGAATTTCTGACTAATGGACTACGTATTCCCTATGATCTGGAGTTTATCTCTGTACCACTTAATAGTGTATTTGCTACTTAGTAGGCACCAGACACATATCTGAATGAATAATTAGGGGGAAGTTAAAGTATAAACTGTGAGAACATAAGAGGTAGGTCTATATAGTCATTTTTATTTGTCTACACTTAAATGTCTCATCTTTAAGAACTGGAGGTCAGGAAAAAAACAAACTGGAGGTCAGACTATTATTGGTGGGTCGCTGGCTAGCAGAATTGGTTCAGGAAAGGATTCCTGTGTTGATCTCATGAATCAGGACATCTAGCAGGTGCGTCCAACTTGCAGCCTGTAGGCTGCATGAGAACTATATGAAGACTTTTTGCTTATCTGTGGCATCAGGTATCATAAAAATGATGCACACACCTTTTTTTTTTTTCCTCATCAGCCTTTGTTAGTGTTTGTGTGTTTAACATGTGGCCCAAGACAACTCTTCTTCTTCCAGTGTGGTGTGGATAAGCCAAAAGGTTTGACCCTCCTAAGAGGTAAAGATTCTGTAGTTTTCAGAAGAGGACCAGTTACAATGCAAGTAGTTTACACTGCACCAGATAACTTCTGAGTCCTCTTTTAGCAATAACATGCTTTGGTTCAAATATTAACTAGCTAACTGACCCAGAACTTTTCCTTTTTTTTTTTCTTTTACTAACCTCCTTCTGACTTGCCTTTTGTCGCCCTCATTCAGAGCATGCCGAGCCAGTTGGTGATTTCTCCCACAGGGAAGCCTCCACCCAAAAGCTCTAAGCATTTGAAGCTCACGCCTGCTCCCCCCCGGGATGAGATGGCTTCATTGTCTCTGGTCAATATTAATCCCTTCACTCCAGAGTCCTATCGAAAATTACTCATTCAATCCAGTGGCAAAAGGAAAATCCGAGGAGACCTGTAAGTGTGCTGCTGCTTAGACTTTTGAGAACTGACCTTATAATCAAGGGGTAAGAGGAAAGAGTTAAAGGAAGATTAACAAGAGCTCTAACTGAATGAATTTGATACGTTTACATATTCTCCCCACCCTGCATGTCCATGTTGATTTTAACTTGCTTTGGTATAGAACATCTCCTGTTCTGATGTGTTAGGCGTTTTCTCTAAAAAAATCAGGACGGAGTAAACAACAGATCTCTGACTTCCATTAGGAAGTTAAATGGGCAATGAAATTTCATTCAAAGGGTCTCCTCTGGTTAACATGAGGCTAGCAGCTGGAGAAGGTATAGTTCACTTCAATGAGTATTTTGCTGCTGTTGAGTCTAGCTTGTGTGGTGAGGAAAGCTATAGAGCAAAGATTTGGACTTGTCTGTGGGTGATGAAAGATTGCTGAGGAGAAGATGACAGTGTTGGTTCCAGTGGTGCTAGGAGAATGGAAAGCCAAGCTGCACTATTCCATCCAGGCCACTGAATGGTAAATATCACCCAAGTAAGGACTGTGCATGTTACTCAAGGACATGTCATTACTTTATCTCTTCAAGGCTTTTTTATAGACTGGAAGCACCTTTCAAATGGGGCGGCCATTTATGTTCATATATACTCCATAAAATAAATGGGCCACTAACAATCTAAAGTGCAGAGCATTGACTGTGTTTTGTTGTTTCTTTGGTTAATACAGTCATTGATTCCAATCTTGTGGCTAGAATAGATTTTCTCAACACTATCTCCTGAATCTTAAGTAAATGGGGCTTGAGCACAAGTACACCTGCCTACTTTGGTTACCTGGAATGCTGTTGGTTTTAGTTCTTCAAGAGTCTTTGTAAACCATTAGACTCTCACTGAAGCCAGCCCCCCCCCAAAAAATACCCCCCAAAACACTAATCTGAAGTCTAGTCTCTAATCTTGGCAGCAAAAATGGTGATACTTTAGTAAACCTGAGTTAGTGGTTCCGAGAGGGTATTTTTCCCCCTTACTGTGGTGGTAATTTATAAAGTATTAGGATGTCATATTAAATTTAAGTCACAAATATCCAGCATCAGTTTATTTCCACGAAAGTAGTGCCCTCTGTTCGCCATTTTAACCTTGTACTTCTCCAAAAGAAAAATCTATTGCTGGCTGAAATCTTGCTTAAGGATCCAGAATGTAATTACTCAAGCCAAAGAGAATGTTTGTCAGTGACTCAAACTTACTGAAAAGTAACTGAAAATATCTTAGCCAGTGTGAGAGCTGATTCTGCTCTACTTATAGTCTTCCTTTGAACTTAGATGAAGCCAAATTCTAGGGTGGGAGTACTGGGACAGTGTGGTGTGGCAATGAAAAGTAAATGCCTTGGCGTAGACCCAGCTCCAAGTCCAGTTTTGTTACTTGAGGAATTGTATGGCCGAGGATTATTTATCCTCTCTATGACTCGATTTCCTGATTTGAAGAACAATTTCATGTATGTTCTGTGCTTTCTTGCCTCCAGCTCTCAGCACATGGTGTTCTACTTGCCTAAACCCTCTTTCCCTTAGCGAGGTTCGACGCATTCTCAATCTTAGCTCCTCTTTTCTGGGAAAGCTTTTTACTCTTGAAATAATTAGTTGGGTGCTGTCCATGGTACCCTCCAGAACTTGTATTCAAATTTGCTGGGTATCCCTGCCTTCAAACATAAATGGGAAAAAAGGAAGAAACTGTCTTATTTCCTTTTATGACCCCAGAACCTAGCACAGTACTGGGCTCAAGAAGTGTTAGTCATACACTGATACCACTTTTTTTTCTTAAGTGAGGAAGCTGGTCCAGAGGAAGGCAAGGCTGAACAGGGGCTGCCTGCCAAGGTGAGCATGGTTCTTTGGTCCAGCTGTCACAACCCAGGCATTTTATCTTATTCTCTCCCTCCTTGTCCTCCCTCCCTCCTCTGGCCCCTCTTCCATTTCCCCCCCTTCCTCTTTCCCTCTCTGTTCCATATTCTCTCTCTCATATATATACATACATGTGTATATGTATGTATGTATCACTTTACAAATGTACACTGTCGCTGAATTTATCTGGATTCAAGTCAGGGTCTCTATTCTTAGCTAACTGTTAATTTGCCAGACAGTGTCTGATATGTATATTGCAGGATCATTGCCTTAGAGTATTTTTAAATCAAAGATTTCTGCTTCTATTTTTGGCTGGAGTAGTGAAAGGAAAATAAAGGTGTTTTTGGTTTCAAAATGGAAAAATAGAATTTAAAAATGGTATAGAGCCAGAGATTTATATGTAAAACTTTAACTTTCAAGTATGCCGGTATTTATTCATTTTTAATAAGGTTCACCATCATTGATCTATTATCTCTCATTTGATAATCTAAGAAATAATACTGTAAATATTATCTCCAGAAATGTGTGTTATAATAATTTTAAAAGGAGGCTAAATGCCTGATAAGTCTAAGTTAATTATAGTTTCAAATTAGTGAGATATTAAATTATCATGAAGATGTTTAAGATATTATGAAAACATGCTTATTTCAAAGTTTAGTGCACAAAGACTCAAAATTTTGTATGCTGAATGATCACAACTGTGTATTACACAGTAATCACAGAGATGGTTAATGAGATGGAGCTATAGCCACTGTTACTTCAGTGTCTTTGAATGGCAGAAACTTAATGTTTTTTCCTTCAAATTTTAAAAGTTTTCTAAAGCAAGTTTTATTTTACTTGCATAAATATACTGATATGTTAAAATATCAGCACTTGGCTATTGTAAACATCACAGGGAAGAAGCCCCACCGGGGAAGGCTTTCTTTCATATGCAAATATTTCTGACTTAACGCTTTCACTGTTTACCTTTGGATTTTATTCCTCGCTTATTTTATAGCTCATCCCTTTGTTATAGAGAAATGCCAACAATATTTATTGAATATTCAGTATGTGAAAAGCCTTATACTTAGACCCTTTAATGAAAAAAATTTAAATGACAGTTACTGCCCAAGAAGAGCTAAGACCCTTGAAATATCAAAGCAATCTATGCACAAGTGTGAAACTCTAAGATGAATGTATTTGTAGGTATATGTGTATATACAAAAGTGTAATGTGTACATATATACATATTTCAGATAAAAATACTTATTGTAGGAAGTCAGACTTGAATAGAAGAGATCATATGTCAAGATAATTCTAGATGAAGAAAATAACTTCTAATTCTATGAAACAGAAGAATGTGTTTCATGTATAACAAGGGTAGGGGAAGGTGTTGAGTTGCCATGGAGTACGTGGCTGGCATACTGGTTTCTTTACTATCTGGGGGGACGGGGGTAAAGGTAGTGAGTATGCAAATGGTAGAAGGCCACAAGGCATTGAGGTCTCTTATCAGAAGCTTGAATTTTTCATGGAAAACAATTAGGTGTCCCTAATGTTATGGGTATTTTGCAAAAATAACTCTTACTATTAAAGGAATTGGAGAGAGAGGGTTGGTAGCTATAGCAAATTCAGACATAGTTGAAACAGAGCTTGAGATTGGCCAAGGGCAATGGAAAATATCTTACTTTGGAATAGATCTTGGATTGGAATTAGATGTTGACAATATAGGGCTAGTAAGAACCAAGATTTTTCAAATCCCTAAGGTTAGAAGAAGAATAGTATTCCTATATTGGGAAAAAATGGCTTTGGGAGATAAATCTTCTTGGATTTAGATTCATTAAAACATATGAAGATTTTGGTCATGACAGTTTACTGGTGTGTTTACTTGTGATTTACTAGGTGCCTGGCATTATACTAAGATATATACACATGCACACACATATATATTACACATACATACTGCATAAAATATATATAATGTACATTCTCATATATTATTTACAAGAGCTCTGGGAGTATTACTAAGATCTTCCTGCATCTTACAGATGGAAAACTGCTGACGGAGTTGGATGATCTGCCTGGGGTTATTCACTAGCTGGGCAAAGAGTGATGTTGCCGCATGGCCAGTAGGGGGAGTGGTCACTAGACATGAGCGCACAGACTGAACAAATTGAACAATCAATTTGACAATTTTGTTGTCCAGAGTAAAATTTTGGAGAAAAAATTTGAAAACCGTGTGTTTATTCAGCTTGAGATGGAAACATTAGCACCTAGATTTTGGCATGGTATAGATGGGAGGTCTTTTTTCTAAAAAGAAAAAAACATGTGCCATCCTGCTCCCAGCCATTTTGAGGGCAACAGCTCTGAGTGTGAGCTATGTCCCCGTAGAAACATACAAAGAATAGTATGAGCAGATAGAGAAAATAATACTGAAAAAATATGTGAGAGATACCAGTATGGAGTTGTATGGAAGGTTACAAAGAACACAGAAGGTACCAGCAACTGGGGAGAATTCTGCTACCATAAATACCAACATAGAATTCATTACATTTGCCTAAAAAGTCTTTTTGAAAACTTAAGTTAGGGATGTCATATGGTACAATAAAATAATTTTGTTTTTATTAAAATATTTTAGAGATGTGTTCTACGAGAAACCAACATGGCTTCCCGCTACGAAAAAGAATTCTTGGAGGTAGAAAGAATTGGGGTTGGAGAATTTGGTACAGTCTACAAATGTATTAAGAGGCTGGATGGATGTGTTTATGCAATAAAACGCTCTATGAAATCTTTTACAGAGTTATCAAATGAGTGAGTACTTTTGAAGTGTACTAGAAATATAACACATACTTGGATTTGGAGAGGTGTTTCTTGTCAAAATATCTTAACTAATAGCACTGATATCATTTGACACATACCATTTGCTTGCTTTTTAAAAAATCAACCTCTCCATTGTATATTGTCCCATATTCATAACCCTTCTGAGTTTTCCAGATCAGTGACAAGTCATTTCAGGTTATATTTTTTGTGGATCTCTTGGCTTTTACTTTCTACTGATGGTTTTATGGCCTTTTAAAAATGAATAGCTTTATGGAATTGTCTGATGTCTGTTCAGTTCATCAGAAATAGTACCAAGAAGGAAGTTAACTCACTGGTTTATCTCTTTTTTTTTAATTAATAAATTCAATAGTCAAGTTCCAGAGACTACATGCAAGGAAAAAGTATTCACCAAAGTTTCTATTTCATTCCCAGAACTGTTCCAAAGTTCTTCCTTGATCACAAGGAAAACACACATTTTCAGATTTAGCCAGTGCTTGAACTGGGAAGGTATGATACTTGACATGTGGAATGTACAATTTCAGGCCTAGAAATTCTTTATTTTTATACAGACATTCAGGAAGTACTCTATTCTGCTTTCCTTGTGTTGGCCTTTCCTATTCCACAGTGTGTCTCCCCAAGGCTGTCCCTGTGACTACATCATATTGGCTGAATTTAATATTGACTCTAATGACTATCTAGACTTCATAGGGAGTATCAAGGGCCCATCACAGTATCCACAACCAAGCATATGGTGGCCTTCTTGTTAAGCCCATTAGGGTGTTTTGATTCTGATAAAATGAAATTAGGACCTGAACATGTCTGAGGTTGAGGCTTGGTACCAGAGTGACCAAAGTTCTGGTCTTACTTAGCTCTACTACCAGTTTACTTTGGGCAACTTACTTTCTAGGATTTTCACCCTTCCCAATGTGTCCTACCAAGTAACTACAAAGATTAAACGACATAATATAGTATGCAAGCAGTGAGCACTTGATAAATGTTTTGCCATTGTTAATAATTACTTTAAAAAATGTTTATATATATATATGTTGATATTTTTTCCCCATCGATGCTTTTCTGTCTCTTAGGAATTCGGCTTTGCATGAAGTTTATGCTCATGCAGTGCTTGGCCATCACCCCCATGTTGTGCGTTACTACTCCTCGTGGGCAGAAGATGACCACATGATCATTCAGAATGAATACTGCAATGGTAAGTTGTGGACTGATACCTGGAGAGGGTACAGAGAGGGAGATGAACTTTATTTCTAAGTCTTTGGATGTAAACTTTGCCACCTCCTCACAGTTTATGCCAAGTGTAGCAGAGTCATACCTAAAAAGTCTATAGTAACATTGGCTTACTTGGAAGCAAAGAGCTAGATGAAGAAAATGAGTTGAAAAGAAGTTTCCAGCCTTGTATGTTGTATGTTTCTTTCAAAGCTGGTGTGTAGCTGACACATAGAAGCTATCATTCTACTCACACTTAAAACTTATGGAGGAAACGCTTACCTTAGTGACTTCAATGGTAAATCATCCTGTTATCATTTACTAGGTATTCTGAAAAATACAAGCCATGGTCCCTATCCCTTTATGGGAGATAGGAGGTAACTCTCTTCATCATACATTGATTTTGTGTACAGACAACTTTCGATTTTTTTTTTTTTTAGAGTGGATTCCTGAGTTGGTGGGTTGTTAATGCTTCTTGTTGCTTCTTACCTTTGAGCTTCAGTGTTCTCATCAGAGTAAGGCCATGAAGCAAGGAGCTGGGACTGAAACTTGGTGGCTTCAAATATATTCTTCTGAGACTTCAGAACCATATATACGTAGTAAAAAGTAACACTTTGCTGAGTTGCTTTAGGTCAGAAAGAGTATCCTTTGGTTTAATGTATTTCTAATCTTCGATCAAGGGGTCAACAAAACAGCAATTATGTGTTTAGTCTTGGAAATTTTCATCAAAATGTTCAGTGGTAATATCATAAAGTGGTACAAATTGAACAGAAGCTTGCCTTTATTTTAGGAGTAGCAATCCATATTCTGGCCACAGTAAATGTTGATAACTACACCCCTCTTCCCTCACCCACAACTAACTTTGAGGTATTTTTTTTTAAGATAGAAATATAGCTTACAGCATAAGTTTCTTTAACAGTAAAGTCTGTCTTTTGGTAAAATTTATAAATACCAGATGGCTCTTAGTATGTATGTTCAGCCTAACTTTTGAACATAGTGATTAGTGACAAGGCTTTATCATTATATATATAAATAAGCAAACAAGTAAATAATGTGAAATGCCAAAAATATAGAAAAGGTGTGCATATCTTATAAAATAATGATTTGGCATTTCTCTTGTTTTCTTATAGACAGATTTCCTTGTAGCCTTACATGTGAATTCTGTACTTTTTTCCCTCTTATAAGCTTACCTCAATTCCTTTTTTCTAATGTCTCTCTGGAAATGAATGGGTCCTTTCCTTGTACTTATGATTGAGAGATTCAGCCTTTTCTTAATTATCTTCTCTTGTTATTCCCTCTTATTGCAAGCTGAGATTCCCTGATTTTTTCCCCCTATTATCTTTATAAGGTTTTATTTGGATTACTTTTATTTATTTTTTAGAGACAGAGTCTCACTTTGTCGCCCTCAGTAGAGTGCTGTGGCATCACAGCTCACAGCAACCTCCAGCTCTTGGGCTTAGGCAATTCTCTTGCCTCAGCCTTCCAAGTAGCTGGGACCACAGGTACCCGCCACAATGCCTGGCTATTTTTTTGTTGCAGTTTGGCCGGGGCTGGGTTCAAACCCGCCACCCTTGGTATATGGGGCCGGCACCCCACTCACTGAGCCACAGGCCTCCCTGGATGACTTTTTAGCTACTAACAATTTATATGACTTTTAGCTCCTAACAAAGGTAGTATCAAAAGCTTCCATGGGGTGGGGGTAGAGGATGGAGGGGAGAAGAGCATAGAAGAAATAAAGGAATAATGTATTGGCTACTGTGCTATTTTAGAAATACTTCTTATCCTTTATTTAGACCCACCGTCCCACCTTTTCCCTTCATGCCAGTTCCCTTCCACACTTACCTCTTGCCCCAGCTTATCATAGCAGTTAGGCTAAAACTTGTACAGTTATGATTTTAGCTTAGATTATAAATTAGATGATTTAGATAACCTAGGTTATAAATTAGATGACTACTGTTAGAGATTAGCAGTCATCTATTTTCCCTACTGTCTCTCCTGAACCCCCAACCCATCAAATTTTTTCTCCTTCTCTTGCCAAGATCCCTTACCAATCACCTCTGGATCAGCCTCACAAATCTGAAGTGTCTCCTGTACTCAGTTGATTCTGGAACCCCCAGGATTCTGACTGAGGATTGGACTATGTTAATCTCTCCATAAAGGCAGTATTTTCTTGAGAGATCTATCACTGAAGTTGTATAAAACATGCTCCCTTAAGATGGTGGTTCTTACACTTGTTTGGATGATGTGCCATCCAGAATTCAGTGTCCTCTGTGGAAAACCACACATATTTTTCCATAAAGCAAGAAATAACTCTACCAGCAGAAAAATATGCTTGTGTTATAGACAGCAACATAAAATAAAGATGGTGAGGATGCAAATGTATGCATTACTGATCTGCTTTGCATTTTATTGTTAGAAAGCATTTTCTATTTTTTTTAGTATCTGTTAGGCCTCATTAGGAAGAGAGGAAACAGGGTATATTCTTAAAGTTTTTTCCTTTCTGTGAACTGGGCAAAGTTATTTTACTATTTTAAGGTAGGAACTGAGCAGCCCATCTCATAAAGATGGCTTGAAGAGCCTTCCCTGAGCCAGCTGTTCCTTTCTTGGCTACAAGTACAGTAGCCATCTCTAGGTAGTACCCTGGTTATGGAGTGAAGGCTCCAGTGTGGCTGATGAAATTGGTAGGATGATGCTCACAGTTCACTCGGTATTTCCATGTCTACAAATACTTCCTTGTTGATGCTATTTAGTAAAGAGCATTATGCTCTCCTGTAAGAGGTAGGCAATCAGCTTTAGCAAAATCAGGATATTCTAATACTTTTGTGTAAATGAGGACCCTTCAGTTACTCCTATTATAAGCTATTACTTGGCTAACTTTTAAACTAACTTACATAGCATCCAGGTATTTAAAAGTCATACTAGCATTGGTCTAGTTGCCCTTACCAAATACTTCTGGCTCTTCAGAATATTAGAAGTATTTCTTTATGGCAGGCGTGGGGGCTCTCACTTGTAATCTGAATACTTTGGGAGGCCAAGGCAGGTAGATCACTTGAGCTTACCAGTTTGAGACCATCCTGAGCAAAAGCGAGACTCCGTCTTTAAAAATAGCTGGTCCTTGTGGCAGGCACCTGTAGTCCCAGCTACTCGGGAGGCTGAGGCAAGAGAATTACTTAAGCCCAAGAGCTTGAGGTTGCTGTGAGCTGTGACACCATGGTATGGTGAAACTCTGTCTAAAAAAAAAAAAAAAATCTCTTTATAATCCAAAAGAACATTTTAAAAACTCCTAGGTACTTCCAGAATGCTTTCCTTCCATACCTATTAAGGGGTCCTAGACTTATTTCTTTCCCCTCTGTTACCAGGATCAACATTCCATTTAGAAAACATTTACATGCCAGGCCTTGGGAGAGTGAAGATGGATTAATACGGATACAGCCATCCTTTTCCTTGTTGACAACACCTCATAACCTCACCTACAAACTTAATCTCGTTTTTAACAAGCTCCAAAATGTTCTCTTTCCCTATTCTTTCTTTCTAATTAATAAGTATATAGTACTTACATAGTAAAAAATATCTAAGAAGACTCCCCTCTTTGTGTTTCTGAAAGGGGCTGAATTCTTTTCCTGTCTGAAGTTGATTATTTCAGCATGAGAGAGAGGTCTCAGTTTTACACGGGATACTTTTAAATAATGATTTCCTTAATAATTCCATTACTATCTCAGATCCTACTGTTCTGATACTTACTCGAAAGGTAGAGCTATGGGTTTTGTAACCACCAGTAACAGCTAGGGTTCTATAATTTGAAGAACTTGCCAATGAGTGCTAATTGATAAAGTGTTCAGAAGCATTCTAATACCTTAGAGTTTAGATCAGATACGGTAGCTATACAAATTTATTTTTTTTGATAACATTGATAAGAGTCTATAGTTCACGTATAAATGACATAGCTCAAACAGGATTTAGGTATATAGAGAGCATTAGGTATATAGAGAGCATTTATATTTTCCTTGGGTCAGCAATCATTAAATGTTCTCACTTTATGATACATTTTAAAGAAATTAGACTTAGAATCAGTTACATTAAAATTGCTAACAGCCTGTAACTACTAGAATGACACTGATGTGGAATTAATCACACCAGGAGTAGCCATATGACTAGGCCTGATTGGCTTGGTTAATAACTAGGTAAACTTTTAAAAATGTTAGTTGGTGCATACGGGAAGTAGTAGGGCCATATATTGGATACATGAGGCACTGGCATTTTCTTCTTTAAAAGCCCAGTAATTCTTTCCAACATGTCTGCAGTATAGACTGGATCAGACATTATTATGCATTGCACTGACATCAGACTAATCTAGACTTGCTAAATTGAAGTGATTTATGAGACATCCATTGAATACCATTTTATATAAGGGGCTTGAGCATTCTGGAATGTATCTGTGGCAGTGGGGTGTGTTGGAACTAGTCCCCTGCGGATATAAAAGGCCAGTTGTATTTTTAAGACTCACATCTTTTCTCTCATTCTGTGGGGTATTCTCTGTTCTTTCCTAGGTGGGAGCTTGCAAGCTGTTATATCTGAAAACACTAAGTCTGGTAATCATTTCCAAGAGCCAAAACTCAAGGATATCCTTCTACAGATTTCCCTTGGACTTAAGTACATCCACAATGCTGGCATGGTGCACATGGACATCAAACCCAGTCAGTATGATCCCTTCAGCTTTTCCTGCCATATTTTGTTGTTTCTATACCATCATTAAAATCTGTGCCTGCATGTCTATCAAGTGTCAAAGTATTTGTTAGCAGAATCTCTTTAATTTGTTTCTCCTACAAAATTTAATCAGCTTCAACCATTTCCCCTTGGGTTCAAGGGGCAGAGAGGGGGAGAAAAAACTCCTGCCTATGTAGTAAGGCCAAGAAATGAAATTAAGTATTTAATTACCACATAGGTAAGGGACAGCATGTTGCCCACATCCTAATTGTATTTATGACTAGTGCTATGTTTTAATTCAGTATTGATTGAAGATAGAAGTGAATGGCTTTATCACTCATTGGTGTGAAGCCCAAGGATAAGTTCTTGTTGTTTTATGGTATTTGTTTATTTGAGACAACAGTATCCTGCCAACAGCTTCTTCAGATGATGGGGAACTATGAGGTCTCCTTAATTTCAATGTGTATCAGCAATCATTGGCTCTCGGAGGTGATGTGAGAGACTTCACAGATAAAAAGAAACCTTAGCAGTCCTGCTATGTCCACATATAACAGTGTTTTTCAACCTTTCTTTTTTTTTTTTATCTCACAGCACACTAGAACATATCGTTAAACTTCCATGACACACTTCAATTATACTGATTTTAAAAAAGAGTAAAAAAAATTACTGTGGTTTGAACTTCTTTCAAAAATAATTTAGATTAATGAACTTTAAAATTTTTCATGACACACTTAAAATCCTCTCTCAGCACACCAGTGTATTGTGGCACATGGGCTGAAAATCACTAGGGTGGAAGAAGAAAAGAGGGAAGTTGAAATGTCAAATACAGAAAAGAATGGTAGAGGTGACAAAACTTCAAGAATAATTATTTACAGCTATTCTGTATTTTCTCAGGTAACATCTTCATTTGCCACAGGATGCAAAGTGACTCCCCTGAAGTCTTAGATGAAGTTGAAAATGAAGCTGATTGGTTTCTCTCGGCCACTGTGATATATAAAATTGGTAAGTTTGCCATATACCCCTACCAGCATACTGTTATCCTATAAAATTTATAATAATGATCCATCTATTCATCTATAAAATTTATAATAATGATAAATCTATTCTAGGTTTAATAAAGACATTTTAATTTTTTTTTATATTTGTTCCCTTTGCTCCTGCTGAAGGAAAAAAGACAGAGCTTTTTAAAAGTATATTTCTTCTTTCTCTTTGGTTTTTTCTTATCTTTCTTTAGGTGACCTGGGTCATGTGACATCAATAAGCAAACCCAAAGTAGAAGAAGGAGACAGTCGCTTCCTGGCTTATGAGATTTTGCAAGAGGTAGAGATTAGGAAAATTGAGGTGTCGTATAACCCATCAGATCTTTTGACTCTCAAATGAAGGTTCACCATGCAAAACCAGGAAGTATATATTTATAACTTAAATTTATCTTTCCCTATTCAGAATGGAGACCAAAGATAAACTTTTCCAAAAAAGTATGAGGAAAGGTGGCTTTGTCACAGATGAATCAATATTTATACTGTTCTTTCTAAAGGTCTTTTAATGCTTCTAATATTTCTTAGAATTCCTAACCTCATGCATTAACTATTAATGCTAAGGCTTTTCCTCAAGTCCAGATTGGTCAAACATGTATTTTTCATGTTGTATCCTTCTGATATCATCAGCAGCTCTGGTTATTGTAAGGTGACCAGACGTCCCGCTTTTGGTGGGACAGTCCCAATTTTTAACAATTTGTCCCACGACGCATGGTGTTTTTAAAAAGTCTCCATTTTTGGAAAGAACGCACAACAAGCTAGGGAATGGCTAGAGAACAGGAAGGGAACATACAGTCTTTGGCTGCTGAAAAGGTTAATGTAACTCCATTTGGGAATGAAGAGGTTAATGTAACTTCATTTGGAAATGAAAAGGCTAATGTAAACTCTTTCTGGGCAAGGTCACCCAGGTGGAATCGGTATCAGAAGGAGACTGGCTCCCTCCCTGGCTTCTAGGCAAGGACAATTAGCTCAGAAGGAGCCAAACTGTCTGGAACAAACAAGTAGTCCCCCCACCCCACCAGGGTCCCTAACCATAAATAGCTCAGCCAATAGCAGCCCAGCCCGACAAACACCCAATGAAATCCCTCTATGCGCTTTAAAAACTTCAGCTCGCTTCACTAGGGGGTCGCCCTTCCTCCAGCTATGCTGAAGGGAAGAGTAGCCCAGGCATATGGTTGCAAAATAAAGCACTTTTTGTCTTTACATGTGTGTGGTGGTCTCTCAGCGGCAATTCTGGTCCCAACATTGCCATGTGGCTATTTTGCCAGAATATGAGTTTTATATTTTTGTTAATTTTATAATGTTAAACTTTAATAACAAATAATTGTTGAGAACTGATTATCGAGAACTGCTTATCAAAGTTCGCACTGTTGATCAGTTGTTAGAATTTGATCACCATTGTTTGGACTTAATGAACAATGGCATTTTTTGGATTGGCAACGACAAAACCATTTTGTAACTGTCTCTCAGAAGATACACATCATACTGCGTGTTAGTGCTAGTTAAACAAGTGATGTCAGCAAATCAGCTTTTCAGACAATTTAGGTAAGTTATTTCATGAATTTAGCAGACAGTACTCGTATTATTTATATTTTATAGTGGTGGCAAAAAGTCTAGCACCAGCCTTGAAAGTGACACTTACGACTTATAAGTTATCATTATTAAAAAAATATATTGATAAGGAAAAGGTTAAATCTTGGGCATCAGCGAAAATCACAATAGAGAACAAATGGTTAGAAATATTTTATCATTTTGAAACAAACCATGTTCCATACAATAATGCACTAAAAATTGTAGGATACGTGCTGTCCTTACCAGGAACTAATGCTGCAACTGAACATGTTTTTTCTATGGTAAATAAAGTGTGGACATCAGAAAAATGACAATTAAGTGTTGAGACTTTGAAAGCCATTTTATGTGTGAAATATAATTTAACAAATTCTTGTGAAAAATGTCATGACCTTTTAAACAACAGCAATCTACTAAAAAAAATTCACTCAAATGAGAAATATGCCAAAGAATAAAATAATACTATACATAATTTTTTTTTTTTTGGCCAGGGCTGGGTTTGAACCCGTCACCTTCAGTATATGGGGCCAGCGCCCTACTCCTTTGAACCACAGGTGCCACCCTATACATAATTTTTTTTAATGTATTATATTTGTAAATTGTACTTATGTTGACATTAAAAAATATATATGACAATACTATTTTTGCATTCTATGAAAATTTTTGTTGCTCCATATAGACCAAATTATTAATTAAGAACCCCACCCTCGGTCAATGGTGTCCCACTTTACTAATATTAAAATCTGGTCACCTTATCATTGAGGTAACTGTTAGTCATTGCCCATCCTCTACAATGTCTGTTTTAGTCAGGCCTAGGAAGGATATAACTTCCCCTGGGTAATAATCAGGAAAAAAAACAAAAACAAAAAACAAGCCTTTCCTTGATGTGATCAACAATCTTTGTACCAAGCCTCTTTGAGCCTAGCAGAGCAAAACAGTGCTAAGATTCTGCCTTGGACTCTTGGGGGCACAGAGATTTAATCAGGTAAATTTATATTCAGTTTATCTTCTCTAGAAATAAAACACTAACTGCAGTGAAGGTGACTTTGCCCATAGCATGTGTTTAGAGCTCACAACCTCTCCTACCTCTTGTAGTTTATCTAGATTCATTCTACTTGGCATACTAACTGGCCTTCCTGTCTTCTCTCTTGAAGGATTATCAGCACCTTCCCAAAGCAGACGTGTTTGCTTTGGGATTAACTATTGCAGTGGCTGCTGGAGCACAGTCATTACCTGCCAATGGTCCTGCGTGGCACTATATCCGAGAGGGTAACTTTCCTGCCATTCCTCAGGAGCTCTCAGAAGACTTTGACAGTCTGCTCAAGGTGCTTTCTCTTACTGATAAAAGATGAAATGTCTATTTTTAACATGTGTGATGGCAAGTATTTGGGGAAAAGGAAATGGAGACCTCGGTAGTGTCATTAACAGAAAAAGAATCATTATTAGGAAGCCCAGGAAAGATACAGGACAGATTGTAGATGTTGTAAGGAAACTTAGAAAATATCATAAAGCCTTTCACATTATAGTTCAAAAGTCTTGTTACAATTTTTCATTTGCCCTTCGTAACAACCCTGTAAAAAGGGGAGGTGGTATCTTATTCTGCTGATGAGAAAACCGATGCTCAGAGCAGCTCTTTGACTCCTGTGCTCACAGATTTTAATTGGTTAAGTCCAATATCAAATCTAGTCTTTTTGCTCCCACTTCAGAGTTTTTAAACTATTGTTAATGGTAACAGTGATATTACCAAAAGAATGAATTTCTACTGTAACTAAGAAGGTATAAGCTACTTTATTGATAATTGACTACTAGCAATTATTTGAGCTATTATAAAAAAGGTAAAATGCCAATCCATAAACGGTTTTACTTGTGCTTACTGATATCTGAGTATGTATTGGGACAAGAAAAGGATATAATGCTGAAAGAAATATACAAAAAGCTTACACTGTCAAGCTTCAAATCATTTATGACTTCATGGCTTAGGGAATAGGATTGGTTAGGATCACTAAAATAGCCTTAGACACAGCTACTCACTCAGAATTAGATTTGGCTTTCATAGTTTACCTGGAATCTTCAGATATAGTTGTAAACCTATTACTAACTAAACTAGACTGACTAAAAGGAGTCTTTCTAACTACTTTTGCTTTCCTGAAAGAGACAAACCCTGCCTCACAGTGGTCTTTTGTTCATGATCTAACATCTACTTTTATGTATAAACTGCTCTTAGATTTAGTTGATACTGACTATATAAAGATGGGCCCTGTGCTAGGCAAAGCATATGTTAATTCACTTAAGTCTAACAATAGTCCCAGAAGGTAAATTTCATTACCCCAATTTTCAGGAAAGGGAAACTGAGCTTTAGTAAAGTTTACAAAGTAAATGGCAGAGTTGGCTCCCAACTTGGTCCTCAAACACAGTTCAGTATTTTCCTCATTATATGACACCATTAATTGTTGTATAAAATTTGGTAGTACTTTCTACTATAGGTTACAGATATATTGTCTACCTTGAGATAAATGCTTTGGGAATACTGTCATGGTGGGTTATCATGTGAAAAAGCAGCATGATGTAGTAGAAAGTAAGCTGAGCTAAGAGTTAAGTACATGGTTTTTGGTCTTGGCCCTTCCAACAACTTTGACAAGTTACTTTTTATCTAGGGTCTCAGTTTTGCCTACTTTAAAATTAAGGCATGAGAGTAGCTAATCAGCCAGCTAGCTCTAAAAGGTAACACTCAAAGACAAATCATGGGTGTAGACAATTGGCACTACCAGACACAGACGGTCCTCCTGTCCAAGATGGAGCAAGTCTGATTTCTTCCCTCTGCACAAAGGACAAGCAGGGTTTTAGAAAATTCACCAGCAGAACCTAGATTGGAGTTGGCTTGAGTGGGAAGACTTTCCCCACTAGTGAAGCTTCTGTTTCCTTCCTTCTGGCCCTAAATCATCAGAGTATGATCCACCCTGATCCAGGAGAGAGACCTTCTGCAGCAGCTCTGGCTAGAAATCGAGTTCTAAGGCCCTCCTTGGGGAAAGCTGAGGAGCTCCAGCAGCAGCTGAATTTGGAAAAGTACAAGACAGCCACACTGGAAAGGTAGCTTTTGGATGATGGGAACAAGAAAGAAATCTACTGTGTACAATGATATAACTGGCCTCATGTGTCTTCGACAGGGATTCAAGTGTATATATATTCACTGTTATAATACATAGGCCCCTGCCCGCAAAGAGACTGGAAGACCAAGGCCCTTCATAGCATAGGATTGGGAGGCTCTGTGACTAGGCTGCTTGAGAGAGAAAATTCTAGTTAATGCAAAGGAAGCAAGAGTGAGGAATACAAGGAAATATAACTGGTAAAGAACCCTTAAGATTGAGTGACAGAAGGTATCTCAGTAACTGGTGGTAATCACCTAATGTAAGATAACCATAGATAAGGTGGTAGAAACCTATTTTAGAAACCCACTAAGTTTCAGGGGCAGGCAGACAAACTGTCCTGGTACATGATTAGAGGAAGAGGTATTTTTCTGAGCAAAGAAAACAATCTAATCTTATTCATGTAGGTTTCTATTCATGCGTGCATTCACTTATTAGTCCATTCTTTAATCAAATGAGAATTACAGCAGAGCCTCCATAGTTGACAACTTCCCTATATCAACTACCCTGTTAATTGGACCTAATTTTTATAGACATGCACCACAAGTACATATCAGTGGGCCTAGTTTCTTATGGTGACCACCTCTGTATGTCGACAGTCTGTCACAGTCCCTCAGGTGGTCAGCTTACAGGTTCATCTATAATTAATTAGATGGTGTGGGGTTGGGAAAGAGGCCAGGTAATGTTTGAGCAGTGTTCTGACGGCATTTTTAAGTGATTATTATATATATACTGTGAACTGCTAAATGCAAAAGAAGGAAATAAAAATGGTCAAGGGCCTAAAAAATGGCTAGAAGTTTAACTTCTCTTGGATACACAGCCTATCTTGGAAACATTAATCTGCAAAGTCCCCAAACTGACTGCCTGGTAATAAGTTGCAGAGACTCCCACCCTTTAGGCTGTAATTCTTCCTTAAAAGCCACTTAACATTTTTCTCGTCTAGTTTTGAATTCCATTGAAGTAAAGTACAAAATACTAATACATAGGATGTTCACAAGAATATAAGTACCTCTTAGAGTGTGGTTTGTATATTCTGTGAATAAGGTGACCAGATTTTAACATTGGTAAAGCAGGACACCATTGGGGGAGGGCAGGGCCTGGGGGCTGGGGCCTGATAACAATGCAAACTTTGATAAGCAGATCGCGATAATCAATTCTCAACAATTATTTGTTATTATTAAAGTTTAACATTATAAAATTAACAAAAATAATACAAAATACATATACTGGCGAAATAGCCACATGGTAGCTGAAAACCGTATATTCCCTTCCTGTTCTCCCGTGTTCTCTAGTTTGTCGTGCATTCTTTCCAAAAATTGGGGCTTTTTTAAAACGCAGCAGGACGCAGGACAAATTGTTAAAAATCAGGATTGTCCTGGCAAAAGCGGGATGTCTGTCCACCTTACTCTGGGGGTGGGGGGCTACTTGTTTGTTCCAGACAGTTTGGCTCCTTCTGAGCTAATTGTCCTTGGCTAGAAGCAAGGGAGGGAGCCAGTCTTCTTCTGATACCTTGCCCAGGAGGGGAGTAGGGAGTTTACATTAGCCTTTTCATTTCCAAATGGAGTTACATTAACCTCTTCATTCCCAAATGGAGTTACATTAACCTTTTCAGCAGCTGAAAACCATATATTCCCTTCCCATTCTCCCACCATTCCCTAGCTTGTCATGCATTCTTTCCAAAAATCGGGACTTTTTAAAAACACCGCAGGACAAATTGTTAAAAATTGGGACTGTCCCACCAAAAGCGAGACGTCTGGTCACCTTATCTGTGTGAAGCCTGCTATAGAGGCACAAGTAACTGCCATCAGCAGTGGTGGGAACCCATAGCAGAGATGGAGCAGAAGCATCTTGAAACTGGTTAGACCAGAAGTTAGCAAGCCTATTCTGTAACGGGCTAGACAGTAAATATTTTAAGCTTTGTGGGATATATGTGTCCTGCTGTAATGACTCAACTCTGCTATTGTAGTATGAAAATAGCCATAGACAATATTATACATGAGTGACTGTGTTCCATTAAGACTTTATTTATAAATACAGGTGACAGGCCAGATTTGACCAAGAGGCTATTGTTTGTTGACGTCTGTACCTTACATAAATGTGTATGTATATATATGTATAGACTGAAGAGATGTTTACTTAATTTTAATTGTAAAAATCATTTATATTCTAATCAGTACGGTATGGGAACTAAACCTACCACATGCAAATGGCATGTGTGTCAACTGTTTTTTAAGACTGTTATGGAATTGAATTTTCTATTCTAGTTAACAGGCTTGTTACTGTAAATAAGAAAAAAAGAGAAATAGACTTATGTTTTGATCACAAGTATCTCTAACTGGGGATCAAGTAACCATTGCTTCCCCTCCCCCTTCACTGTAGGAAACTGAGAGAAGCCCAGCAGGCCCAGTCCCCGCAGGGAGCCCCTGAGGTCTCTGAGGCCCCCACAGGATCAGGAAGCAGGAAACTTCTGGTGGGAGGAAAGAGTGCAAAGTCTTCAAGCTTTACTTGTGAGTAATCTTCCCCTTAAGAACTCATTTCACACCAACAGACCTCTTACTGCAGAACCTCCAGAAATAGATAATGCCCCAACCTTCCCTTAGGAAATAAAAAAATTAAGCAACTTGAATGCCCAAAGGTTTCAAAAGCTACTTCTAATTTAGGACTTAGTCAAGATCCTAAAGCTACTGATGCTTATATTAGCTACGGTCCCGAGTACAATAATAGGCAGTCATTTCTTTTCCCTATTGTTATATTCCTACTACCACTTAACAACAATTTATTTACTTCTCACTTTTTTTTTTGTGATGAACAGTGGGACAGACATCATGAGCGTCTGAATTGAAGGAAGAAAGGGAAACAGCCCTGTGGATTAAGAGGTTGCTCTTGCCAACTGCCCTACCAAGACTCAAGGGACTCCACCTGCATATAGAATGGAATGAAATTTGGTTTTAAGTTGAAGCTAACATCTTACAAGAAAATGTACTTGGATTTAAACAGTCCTTCCCAGGTTTTATGATGCTATTCCTAAAAATATTCCCAGTCCCTTTGAGGAAGTAGTTCTCCTAATGTATATACACCCTTTGTCTGATACTGTATTTATTAAATAAATGACTTCTCATTATGTGAGCTAGGCAAAAGTAAACATGTATATAATGTGTCCATTTCTGAGCTGTCTACCTTTTAGAACAGAAATACTAGAGGCAGAGGAGTCAAGGAAAATTAACATGGCTGTTATTCCTCAATCTGCCCTCACTCTCTCATGGCTGTTTTGATATTCTGGGTCTCACCAATTTCTTTTGATTTTTATCAGAATGTGGCTTTGTTTCCTGCCATTTTATCATATTTTATCCAAATTCTTCTCCTGTATATATACATTTTTAAAGGAATGGAACATTGTATTTTTAAATAAAGATTTTTATCTTGTCCAAAGCTGAATTATGGGTAAAGCACTCTTTATTATACATGGCCAACAAAGAATGAGAAATTTGTTGGAAAACATTTTATGAACAAATGGGTAAGAATTCAGTAGGTTAGCACTAATGCATCTTGGCAGCAAGGCCCAGCTTCAGAGATTGGAAGTTAATAATGTTCAGGCTCTGCTATCAAATGTCATCTTAATGTAAACTATTGACGACTAATGGATCTTTTTGCTGCTTAATTTTATTTTCTCATTTTTGAAAGCTAATTAAGTGTTTTTAATTGAATAAACCCTCATGCTATTCTTTGTTCTGCTTTGGAATGGCAATTCTTTCCATGAAATTGTGGTGTTCTTCCTATAGTTCACTGCTGCTTGTTAGTAGTCTTTATTCAAGATTTAAAAATGGGGTTAGTTGATCTCTCCCCCCATACACCTACCATAAACTGTCTCTTGCAGTACAGTGCAAGTTCAGCTATAGTTTGTGGCTTAGAAATAGGTAAATAACAGGCAGGTTATTAAGTATATACAAGGTATGAATCAGAATTCTTCGGTTATGCTTGTCTTCTTAGGCACTGACAACTATAGTGATTTTGGTCTACAACTCCTTCCTACTGTGTACTTGGAGCCTAGCTTCACATCTGAATGGACCTGATGCCAGATCATTGGGTTTTTTGTTTGTTTCTCTCTCTCTCTTTCTCTGCTGGGCTCCATGGTAGCTAGAAGTCACAAAAATAGCATACATCTGTACATTGAGTGTGAGAAAGACCAGGTCTTCACTGGACTCTGCAGTTCTCCCCTTCCATTTCAGTTAGACACTGCTTACCTAAGGTTTGTTTCTGTACCGACATCATGATATAACACTAATTATCAAAGTGATTTCACTAGCATCACTGGGATAGCAACATATTAAAAAATTTGAATACTTTAGAAAACAAAATGCTTCTCTATAGATGTTTCCTAAACACAAACACTGACATTAAGATTCCAACAGATACTCTTGAGCCTTAGAGAAATACTACTGTGCTCTACTGGGCATATGTACCAATTTATAGAGGTCATTTATCTAAAGCAGTAGATAACTATTGAAAAGTAGATGTCAGGCTCGGCGCCTGTGCTCAGTGGTTAGGGAGCCAGCCACATGCAATAGAGCGGGTGGTTTCGAACCTGGCTAAACAACAATGACAATAACAAAAACATAGCTGGGTATTGTGGCGGGCACCTGTAGTCCCAGCTACTCGGAAGGCTGAGGCAAAAGAATTGCCTAAGCCTAAGACTTTGAGGTTGCTGTGAGCTGTGATGCCATAGAACTCTACCCAGGGCGACAGCTTGAGGCTATCTCTTAAAAAAAAAAAAAAAGTCTTTCAGCCTGAACAACTAAGCCTTTTTATCTCATCTTGAATTACATAAAAATTGTCGTTTTTTTTTAAATTAAAAAGCCCCAATAACTGAAATATTCCTGAAACTGCTGTTGATTTACTTTAAAATACTTGGTAGTAAACAGTTTTGGTAATAAGCGCTGTAATCTCCTGCCAGCTATTATGAGGCTTTAGAAAAAGTTTCAAAGTAAAAACTAACATTAAAATTTCTAAAAAATATTTTCTTACAGCCAAACCGTCCAAAGTTTCCTATTTATGATAAAGCAATGTCAGCCCTGGTATGTGTCACTGGATACTTACAGCTGAAACCATTTTATAATTTAGGAGGAGGCCAGAGGTAACTTGGCAGCCCTGGGCATGTATGATGTACACTTCTCGGTAAGTTTTGCAAATGACAAAGCCCTGAGTTCCTTACCAGCCAGGGATTAAAACTGGTTAAAGTCACAGTGCTATCTGTCATTACTTCTGAGTACTGGGGAGGCCCTCTCTGGGTCCATGGATGAACTATAGAAAGTCTATGATTGTGTTCAAGTGTGTGTATTTACACTGCAGAGAGGTTTCAGGACATCCTCATCAAAATGAAAACTTTAGATTTCTGAAGGGGTATTACAAAAATTCAGATCCTTGATTTTAAAAATAAGTCTTTTTAATGTTAGGCCTACTTAACCATCCTTCTGAATTTTTCTTGCTATTTCTGTTGCTCTGGCCTATGAACTGGGCCCCTCTAAAGCTTGTCCTTGTTTTAAAGCATACTATTAATTGAATATTCACAAGTTCCCTGTCCTTTAAGAGCTCACAATCAATGGGAGAGATAAGACACCCTCATGATCATTTATAATACAACATAGAATGTGTAAAGAAAATGGAACAACAGAGAGGGGACTAGGACATTGGAGGTGCGGGAGGACGTTTCAGATCCCGAGGACAGTGAGAACAAAGCCGGAGCATTTGTTGTATTAGGAAGAGGGATCTATTTGATAATAGAAGAAAATGCTTTCATTTAGTTCCTCTATAACATGTACCCTCATATTAATTTGAAAAAAAAATCTGCACATATTAACATGCTTTTGTCAAAGAAGACAAACACTTTATAATTTTCTCCAGCCTAGTGATTTTCAACTGGTATGCCATGAAAAATTTTAAAGATAATTAAATTTTTGAAACAAATTCAAAGCACAGTGAGTATATTCTTTTTTTAAATTCTTTTTTTGGGCTCGGCCCCTGTGCTTCAAGTGGCTAAGGCACCAGCCATATACACCTAAGGTGGCGGGTTCAAATGCCCGGGCCTGCCAAACAACAATGACAGCTGCAACCAAAAAATAGCTGGGCATTGTGGCAGGCACCTGTAGTCCCAGCTACTTGGGAGGTGGAGGCAGGAGACTCGCTTGAGCCCAGGAGTTGGAGGTTGCTGTGAGCTGTGATGTCACAGCACTCTACCCAAGGGGACAGCTTGAAAAAAAGGCAGGAGGAGAGAAAAGAGTTGAAAAACACTGCTTTAGCCAATACTCTAAGGAGAATGTGTTTTGGTAATTCCTGTCTGAGCGAGAATTTGGACTAGCCCAGACTCCCTGCTAAGGTGTGATTTACAAAGTTGTAAGAGTTCACCTAAGGTTGTCTATTTTCAATTAGCTTTGTTTTTTGCTACATTTTTCTTTATACAACCTTTATACGCCTTACATCAAAGCATACAGATAGAAAGAGGGAGACATTAGTGGCATAATAAAGAACTTTTAGGGCCACGTGACTGGATATGGGTGAACAGATGTGAGTGACCATGGGTGATCAGAGAGAATTTAAAGATGATTACAAAGTTCAAGTCTAGGAGAATCTTATTATCACTAAAGCAAATAAGGAACTTAGAAGGAGGAAACTGGTTTTGGATGAACATGTGTATTTGGTACATTTTTCATTTGACTCTATAGTGCAAGTGGAAGTTGTGTTTTTCAAAAGGAAATGACTGGAGAGGATTGACAGTAGTAACCCAGTGGGTTGGGTGCAGGATTATTGACACCTGCGCAAGGCTGGCAGGCAGTATAACATGGCCTGTTCCAGGGACTCAACATCATGAAGGTGTTAGGAAAATAGAGTAAGCATCTGTTACTGCCCAACCAGGTTCACTGCCCACCGCTCAAGAGGAAGCCAATACTAAGACAGCAAGGGTTACAGTGGAGGAAGAGTTTAGTATCACAGGCACTATGTGAGGAGACAGGAAAATTTCTTTAATCTGCCTCCCTGATAATTTGTGAGTGAGGGTTTTTTTTTTTTTTTTTGTAGAGACAGTCTCACTTTATCACCCTCGGTACAGTGCCTTGGTGTCACAGCTCACAGCAACCTCCAGCTCTTAGGCTGAGGCGATTCTCTTGCCTCCACCTCCCAAGTAGCAGGGAGCACAGGTGCCTGCTACAACGCCTGGCTATTTTTTTGTTGTTGTTGCAGTTTGGCCGGGGCGGGGAACCCGCCACCCTTGGCATATGGGGCCAGCACCCTACTCAATGAGCACAGGCGCTATCCTTGTGAGGGTTTTTAAAAATAGTTTGGTGGGCAAAGGGCTAGCAGTGGTTCTCAGCCAGTGGGTCGTGACCCCTTTATAACAATGAAAATACACTGCGGCATTAGGAAGCTTGAGAACCACTGGTAGGGGATTAGGTCTGTTGATTGGCTGGGAATGAACTCATAGGGTCAGGAAGCAGAAATTGTCTTTTTGTGCTGAGTTAGTTCCCAGGTCCCAAGACCATTTGGGCTGGTTCCTTGGTATGGTCCACCAGAATGCAGGGTCTGTTCTGGAAGCTATCTCAAAGACAAGCCTTACATTTCATAAGGGTGATATTACCTAGGGAAGCAATGAAGAAAGCTAAGGATTTTCATGATCATCAGCTGTGTGACTCCTGAGTAAAAAGAAATTATAGGAAAGCAAGCTAGGGAACCTAGACCTTTGCAGAGTTCAGGCCCCTACCACAGTTCTCACGTTATAGTCTTATTCATAAAGGGTGGTTTCACATCTAGAAATACAGTACCGTAACTAGTGAGCAGACCTTCAGGAGCAGGTTAAGGTGTGTGTTGGAATCTGTGTTAAAGAGTTAAGATTTTATCAGGAGAGGTCAAAATGAGTAGTAAAAGGATTTTGAGTAGGGGCCTGAGTAGGCAATTTGCACATTACAACATTCCGGAGGGTGCCTTCCTTCTCCACAGGCCCCACAGTCCAGGGAGATGGAGAAGAAGGGAAGGCCTCTGCTGGCCTGAATTCTGCAATTTGTGGGGCTCCATACATCCTCTTTTCTACCAGGGCCAGCATTAGAGTGAATAACACAAAATTCAAGGGACAACAAGAAACTCTTCAGTCAAGATTAATGATACTTAATGAAACAGTTTTAAAATATTAAAAGTAATGAAGCAAATCCATGGTGAACAAAATACCAACATTTTGAATAAAGACAAGATCAGTGAGTTGAAGTTAAAATTACTTAAGAGTGTCAAATGGCCAAGAAAAATTGTGAGACATGGAAATTCTCACAACTGAAACAAAATAAGCAAAGGAGTAGATTTTGAAAAAAATACCACTGCTCAGTTCTCTTATAAGCAGGAAAGTAAAATCAAATTCCAATTTTACTATAAATAAAATACCTAAACTTAAAACAATGTGAGTTTTAATACAACTACTTTCAAAATTTTCACTACTCAACTATATTTTCTCTTAAAAATACATACAAACATGTATGCGGGGGGCACATTTTTCCTTGTGCCTCTGGCTTCATTATAGTACAGATACTGTGTTTCATTAACATTTTAATACAGTTATGCACTTCACAGTGATGTTCTGGTCAAAGACAGACTGAATATAAGATGGCAGTCTCATAAGTTTATAACGAAGTTGAAAAATTCCTATCACTGTAGGTGTTGAAATATCATAGCCCAATGCATTACCCCTGTTAAGTGATAATAAATGATTATGTCATACTGGCTTATGTGTTTACCATACTATACTTTTTGTTATTTTAGACTATACTCTCTCTACTTATAAAAGCATGTCCTGCAGGAAGTATTCCATAAGAAGGCATTGTTATGGTAGAAGATGACAGCTCCATTCTTGTTATTACTCCTGAAGATGTTGAGGTACATGACTGATGATGATGATCTTGACCCTGTGTAGGGTTAGGCTAATATGTGTGTTTGTGTCTTAGTTTTTAACCAAAAACGTTTTAAAAATGAAATGGTTTTAATAGAAAAAACCTTACAGAATGAAGATACAAAGACAAAAAATATTTTTGTGCAGGTCTACAACATGTTTGTGTTTTAAACTGTGTTATTAAAGAGTGAAAAAGTTAAAAAATTTAAAAAGTTTATAAAGTCAGTTAACGTAAGCTAAGATTAATTTGTTACTGAAGAATGAAAAATAATTTTAAAATAAATTTCGCATAGCCTAAGTGTACCGTTGTTTCTAAAAGTCTACAGTAGCGAACAGAATAATGTCCTAGGCCTTCTCATTCACTCTAACTCACCCACCACTAACTTCCAGTCTGGCAAGCTCCTTTCAAACAGTAAGTGCCTTAGACAGGTGTATCATTATTTATCTTTCATATCATATTTTTACTGCACTTTTTCTATGTTTACACACAAATACTTGACATTGTATTACAACTGCCTACAGTATTCAATAGTTACATGCTGGACAGGTGCGTAGGCTGGGCAGTAGGCCAGAAACCACACAGCCTAGGTGTGCAGCAGGCTATATCACCCGGGTTTGTGTAAGTGCACGTATGATGTTCGCACAACATAAAACTAAAGGGCACCTTTCTGAGAATGTAGCGCGCTTTAAAGCGACACACAACTGTTACTTGGTTCTTCACGAATTTCTTCCATTAATTTCGGACCTCTTAAAATACTTCATTAAAATATTATTTATCTTGATAGCTAGGTTTTTGGCTCAAGCCTTCGCCCATTCCCTTCTCTTTTTCTGCTTTTCTTACTGCTTCGGGAGGTCTGGGCGGTCCCCACTCCGCAGGAGCTATTCTTTCGTTTCGCCTACCCGGTCCTCCTGGAACCGGCTGGAAACCTCACCAAATGTTTTCATTTCATTAGAAACTTAACTCTGTCGGACTCACCACTTGGCGGCGTAGATCCAGCCACCGGCACACAGAAAAAGCTCCCGGAACGCCAGAGTTAGAGGGAGCGCGTTTCCCGCGGTGCCGGCCGGCAGTATTTCTGCGGAGCACGCTACGGACTTCCTGTTTCCTCTTTCCTTTCGCGGTCCTTGCGGCTCGGTGCACCGGAAGTGTTCCGCAGGCTGCTCTGGAACCGCGGGTGAGGAGGCGGGGGAGGCAGGAAGGAAGGGTGGGAGTGTGGTGTTTGGGTCTGCGTGGGGTCGGGAGGTGGTGCTGTGTGCGTGTCTGCCCCTTCCCTTCTCACAAGTGCGGAGGACTCCACGGTTTCCTCCCGTTTCCGCTACGCGCTCGGGGGGAAGCACCTCCTTTGAGAAAGGAGTGCCTGCCTTTCCCGGAGGTGAGGCTAGTTAGGTCGGGGGTCTCCAGCGCTCCTTGGTCTTTGTTAACCGGGATGGTTATTTTTGCAGCAGCAGGTTTCAGATTGAAGTCCCTTAATGACTCTGATATTTGAGTCTTTACTGTGTGTTAGGAACTGTTTTAGGAGTTTAGGGTATGACAATGAATAAAGCAGACAAAATTGTGTGCCCTATGGGAGCTTACATTTTAATGAAATTTGAGAAGACAGTGGATTGGAAGTGGGAATAACTCAGAATCGGAATTTTGGGAGGATTAGAGGTGGTGGAATTTATGTGGAATTTAAAAGACATAGGGGTATGAGGTTTTCTTCTATGGAGAGGGTGCTAGTCAAATACTTAGGAACGTTGATACAATGTCGCAAATTGGATTGCGTAAAAATTATGAATGTGGTTAGTAATTTAGGGCTGGTGAACTTGTGCTGTTGTTATTAGATATAATAATAGTTTTCTTTCCTTTTTTTCTTCAGGAAGAGTCTAAAGATTAGATTGTAAGAAAAGAAAGTAGAAGCCATGTTTCGAAGACCTGTATTTAAGGTAGTTACTTTTCTATATTAATGCCTGGATATAGTTGTATTATCAGCCATAATGATCAGATTTCTTTAGGCTTTTGACTGCAGGCTTAGCTTACCCGCCCACTTTTGTGTATTCACTTGATGTGGAAGGTTGGGACAGATTTTGCCTATGTATATAACATTTATTCAGTTACAAGTGTTACATTTAAATTCATTACAGCACATTATAGGTCTTTAGTGATCTAAGGACTGGGAGAATCAGTGTTCCAACATTTTTCTGTAAGATATGTAGTTCCTTCCTGACCATCTCCCTCCTTTTAGGAACAGGTCCCTCTCCCCCTATCTCTGCCCATACAGGAGAGCAGCTCAAGTCTCAGGATTACCACATATTCACTGTGTTTAAAATTCCTTTTTATTCCACTCAGTCTGGCTCCTCATCCATCTAGTTACTCTAGTTAGCCTTGAGCCAGCCTAGACTATCATTTTTCCTCACTTAACCACTTTTGGGCTCCTAATTGTAAACATTCCTTTATAGCGCCTCTCTCCTACTCACCATCCTCCTATTAAGACTACGAAAAGTCACTTCCTCTGTGAAATATGTGATGACTTCCTCCATCCTATTTTTGAACTAATTTTATGTTCTTGGATCCTCTCTTAACCTTAAAATATGAACCTTTAATCTACTTTTTTATGTGTTGAAATGGGAAATATGGAACAGTTACTACTATTTTTTTTTTAGAGACAGAGTCTCACTTTATTGCACTTGGTAGAGGTAGAGTACTGTGGCGTCACAGCTTACAGCAACCTCCAGCTCTTGGGCTTAGGTGATTCTCTTGCCTCAGCCTCCTGAGTAGATGAGACTACAGGTGCCCACCACAACACCCGGCTATTTTGTTGTTGTTGCAGTTTGGCCGGGGCCAGGTTGGAACCGCCACCCTCAGTATATGGGGGTCAGCGCCCTATCCACTGAGCCACAGGCACCGCCCAGTTACTACTGTCTTAACACACTTAAATATTACAGTATTAAAATGTCTTTAAAACCAAATATAAAAGTTAAAAGTTTAATTTTAGAAATTATCCAAGTTAAATAATCTTTTCCTATTTCTACCCCAGTAGGTCTTGATTCTGTGTGCCCCAAATGAGACATTTTATTATTCCATAAGATTTATGAGCTCTGGCTTGTCTGAGTGCTCAAATTCGTATATTTCTAGAGTCATGACAGAGTTACTAGTTAGCAGTTTGATTTTGTTGTATGTAGTAATTTACATACTTATTTTTTTATCCACCCTCTGCCCCAACACCACCCTCCCCCCCCCCGCCCCGGAATTGGTGTTTGATTGGTGGAGTTCTGCTTTTTATATTCACAGTCCTGCACTTGAAAAGTGTTTCTCTGATAGAATGGTTAGCTCTCTGAACCTTGAATCCAGTGATATGTATTCCTGTCTTTATGTTAGCTCTTGAACAGATGTCTTTAAGGAGCTAATGGTAAAAGCAGCAGCTTTGATGTCAGGGTTCCCTGGGTTCTTAGAAGGACTTGCCACTTGCAGATTACTAGGCAAATTAATCACTCTGGGGCTTGGTTTCCTTGGTTCTAAAGTGGGGATGATTTTAACATCGTTTATAGATTTAGTTTTAGGATAGCTGGTATTCAGTAATGATCACCATTATCAAGTGCTGCTGTTGTGTGGGAGTGACTATCCTTTCCTGATGATTATATGATTTTGACTTGGATAGCTGTATCTTTTTACTTTTTAGGAGAGCCAGATTTGTTTGTCTTGACTTGGATAGCTGTATCTTTTTACTTATTAGGAGAACCAAATTTGTTTGTCTTGGACTTTTTTAAAATCTATGAAAGCATGAAATTTCCCATCATACATTTATAGAATCCAGCATTGGATTAAGCTTAACTCTAGAAGTTGTTTAGTTTTTTCAGTAGCCTTTGCAGTGAAGTAGATAATTTTCTTTCATCATTTTTGCTCACTTTTAAACTGTGTTAGACTAATTGTATTTAAGGAATCGCCTAATTCCTAATGACTTCTGAAGGAGCAGCTATAGGAAAGCAGTTTCATAGACTCTACAAGTTTTATCCACAGAGAGTCTGACTTTATAGTATGTTCCCCTTGCTATGTCAGAAAGACATTCCGTCATTAACGTAAGGAATCTATTACTTTGTTGAATTGAACCTATTTTTAATTCTCTAAACTATCATTCTCTAAACTACTTTATGGCTGAGAGTGAGGCTTAAGTAATGACATTGCATTTATTTTGCACACATCCTACCAGTTGTTCGAGCATTGTTTTCTATGTAATGAATGAATCTACTTAGTAATACATTAATTATAAAGGAGTGATCTCTTTCTCTTTTCCTTTGGTCTAATGATGAACTAAATCTGTACCCATATTAGAGAAATCAAAATTTTTTCATTCTTAAAGCCTACTATAGCCAAACTATAGAGAAAATATGCCAGTTTATATTTCAAAAATAAAAATAAATAAGGTTGGTTGGTCTAGTGTATTGAATGTATATAGCATTTTTTGCTTCTTTCTGTGACTTCTGCTAATGAAAGCTGGATTTTTAAAAAGTACGTGGCAACAACTCTTAGGTACAGGTTAGATTTACAATCACTGTCACACTCTTTTTGGTGAAAATGGTACTGTTTTGATTTTATCATTTGTGTGCAAACAAAAGTGCTGTAATCTGGATTGCCGCAAAAGAAACAGGAGAGGACTGTAAGTTTTGGGTAAATTGTCTAGTACCTTTGGGTTTCTTCATTCAGCTGCCCTTAAAGTGTTTGCTGGTCCTTCTGGCACTGTATGTTGGGAAAACATGGGAAGAGCTCTTTTCTTCCAGAACTTATAGAAACTACTAACTAAATGGTGAGTAAATATGATCTGGTCTTCTGTTTGCATTTGCCTTTCCCTAACAAATTAAAGCCATGTTACTCATTTGTTCCCTTTTAGGTACTTCATCAGTTTGTAAGACATGAGTCTGAAATAGCTAGCAGTTTAGTTCTGGAAAGATGTAAGTAGCTGATTTCCTATTTAAATGTTATTTATAATAATGTGTTAATGTTTTCAAATGTGCTGTAGAAGACATACACTGTTTGAGTTAATCGAATTATCATCATGCTTTTGGCTCATGTTCGGTCCTAAGATCTTGGCCTTGCCTTATGAGGTACCTAATATAAATTGGGCCCTTATCAGGTAGACACAACTTAATTTTGTCATCACTGTCTTGTAAGAATTTCCTTGAGTTATATTTGGTTATCTGAGATTTCCATGGTTATATCATACTAGGCTGAGATTATGAAAGATTTTAAGACATTTTAAAGAAAAAGAGTTCAAAGTTTGTTTTGTGGGCTGCTTTCTCTGTAATTATTTTTTCCTTTATTGCCAACCCTCTTTATTCCCTCCCACCCTCACTTTATTTTCTGTAGAACTTGGGTTTTGCTTACTACAGAGATTGAAGTTGAAGTAGTATTTGTAGCTGTTTCTTTTCTGGACATTTCTCCCAATCTCTGCTGTGGATTTTGTGGCTGCTATAACAAAATACTATAGACTATGTGGCTTAAACAACCACTTATTTTTTATAGTTCCGGAGGCTAGAAGTCCAAGATCAGGGTGCCAGCGTGATTGGCTCTTGGGAAGGACTTTCTTCCTGCCTTGTAGGTGGTAGCCTCCTTACTGTATCTTCACATGGCAGAAAGAGAGAGAGTGCAAAGCTCTGGTTTCTTCCTCTTACTAGGATTCTAATCCCATCTTGGGGGCCTCACCCTCATGAGCTCATTTAAGCTCATTTTACCAGTCCCCTGCCCCCAAATAAAAAAAGTTGGTTGGTCTAGTATACTGAATATATATAGCATTTTTTGCTTCTGCCCCATCCAAATACCATCATATCAGGAGTTAGGGCTTCAACACGTCAGTTTTTGAGGGGAGGGGTCCGGTGCAAACATTCAGTCCATAAGAGGTTTCTAATCTATTTTCTCTCCACATTATGTTTCAGCCTTAAATCGTGTGCAGTTACTTGGGCGAGTGGGTCAGGACCCTGTCATGAGACAGGTGGAAGGGAAAAATCCAGTCACAATATTTTCTCTAGCAACAAATGAGATGTGGCGATCAGGGGACAGTGAAGTATACCAAATGGGTGAGTGAAAAAGACTGGAGTTTTAATTTTATCAACAACAAGTGGACCTTATTTATTGCTAATTATCTAATAGAGATAAGCTACTTTTAGATAAGGTATGTCTTTAATTCTGTTCTTAGAAAGTGTGACGGTGCTTTTGCTGTGCATGTTGTCCATTGGCATTTGTTTTGTCTGCTTTCATTTGTAACCACGCTTCCTATTCTTGTGGTCTAGGTGATGTCAGTCAAAAGACTACATGGCACAGAATATCAGTATTCCGGCCAGGCCTCAGAGATGTGGCCTATCAGTATGTGAAAAAGGGGTAAGTTGAAGAAGGAAGGATCTTTCTGATTCATTGTTTTAAAAAACTGATTACAACTGGCAAGGAAGGGGTGGCTCCTGTGGCTCAAAGGAGTAAGGCACCACCCCCATATGCCAGAAGTAGCCCCCAGCCGAAAACTGCAAAAAATAAA